TAACACAACCCCACGATTGTAATGGCAGAACATGGGAATGGAAAAGTTGTTTTTATACATAACCACCTGTCACTGCTGGGTGTGAAATGAAAGTCTAGTCATTGGATTGTCACCTCCTGAGAGGAGCCCAGGCTCCTGCATTAGTAGCATAAATCAGCCTCCCCTGTAGCCACTTCTGCCTACTTCAGGTCACACTACCGGTTCTTTGATATCCTCATAATCCAACCAAGCTCCTGTGTGCTAGCCTGGATGTCACATAATATCCCGGGAAAGCAAGAAAGCTACACCAGCTGATCTCAATCCTCAATTATTTTACCCCTGATTCATTGTAGTGGTGTGTACAAACCGACCCTACAGTAAAAAGGCTGCAGAGTAGCATTATTTTTACCCCCCGCTGCACCATTTCCTTCTAATCTCCACAGGGTCATAATATACCAGACTGCATAGTATAACATCTAGGCACACTTCCACCCGGTGCTTGTTTACTGAAGGGAGAAAGTGGAAGTTTACCACACTCTTGTCAGCTTGGATTAGGGAGAGGGGAAAGCGATTTCTTTGGAATCCCGGTTCAATTATTAAAGTGACAATAAATCCTTTCCCCATGTCCAAAGCCAGGCTTTAGGTGCTGAATCAATGGCTTCAAACGGATTGAGATGCTAAACAGAGAGCAGTTCTTGTTAACTGTGTGAGTCTATAATAGTTTTCATTTTTGTTTTTAAAAATGGCTGTGATCCAAAACTCCAACTTCCTTTCCATGTCTATGACTGATGCCATTTTACGCCAATGCACGTCTCTATTCTAGGGTTTTTATGTATTTTTCCAAGAGTTCAAAGCGTTACATTAATATTGTGCGTGCTTTAGAGACAGCCCTTATGTAACAATCAAAAGCTTGCTGCTCTCCTTTGCTGTAAGTGGAACTTAATACAGGCATCGGATTAGGGTGATCAAACATGCAAGGGAACCCCTCTCTCTCTGCCCCCCTTTCCTGTCTATGTTCAGCTGTCACTATCCAATAAAGGCAAGAAACATGCAAGGGAATGTTCAAAACCAGCCATCTGCTGTTGACTGCACAGGTTCACTGTTTCCTTTTGTCTCCATTGAAACCTGAGATCAAAATAATTAATTTTATAGAGGCATTTTATAGTGGCAAATTCACATTAAATGGAAAGGCCTTAGACCTACAAGAGGGAGACATTTTTACTTGTCATTAACTGAAAAAGCAAGTGTAACTTATAAAATCAAATATAACTTAAGATCCATTCAGATTGGGAATAACATTACAGGGGGAGGTGAGGAATGAAATACTCACTGTGCTCCTCCTGTGTTCCGGACTACATTACATTACGAAATTACAGTGTACGTTCTGTAACAGACATGGACATTCAGCAGGACAAAAGGGGAAGAAAAAAGCCTCCCCAGGGGAGCAGGGGAGAGTTGAAGGGGAGGTAAAGAGGGAGAGATGTGAGACTAAGATACTGCATGAGGGGAATTTGAGTCAAAAATCGCACTGTTTCTCGGAGTGATAACTCAGTCAAATGTAAACACACAGACATGAAATACATACTGATATCATTCAGTGTGATGAGATTGTATGCTGTCTTGTTCTCCTGTTGGTTTTCTGCTGTCATATTGGTTCCTGAATAGACCTATTAGTGCTGGGCCTAAAATGTGTGGCCTAAAAATAACACTGCATTCAATTTACAAACACCACCACATCTGTAATGTCTTATCACTCGGGCCCCTTCTTCTCATATGGCATACTATGGTAAAATGATTCAACACATTTTGTGTAGGTGAGGGACTTGAGTGGATGGGCGCTTGTTTTCCAGCAGCTGTATATCCCCACATTATAACATTTGCTGTTTAAATCTCGATTTTACAAAATTTTTTGTATCGTTTTAAAACATGAATTCAACTTAACCGGTTTATCGCCTAGCTATAAGACCTATGTTGGTGTTAGCATTTGGCAAGGGACAATATGAAATACAATTTTTAATGTCACGATTATCTTGGCCAAAATAATTGGGAGACACAATATTATCGTCTAAAACACACTGGAATCACCTAAGAAATCGATTGCATCACAGATATTGCATCCTCTTCCTGCTCTTTATTTTGGAAGCTATACTATTTCCACACATCTGGTTTAACTTGCTTTCGTGTATTTTATAGTAACAGGAAAACTGTAGTCAGTTCAGAAAGCAGAAGATGTGTTGTAGTGATAACAGCCAAGCGCGCCATGAAAGCGAGCTAACAACAATATTAAACAATGCCCACCTATGGCTGTCACAAACAGCAGTAATGAGGTCATCTGGAGACTGATGTTGGAGCTGACAGTGAATATAGAACAACTGATGGGACTCTTTAACAGCAGTTACTGTAATTATATTTTCTGATTCAGCTGAAGCCAACGTTCACGTCAAACGGATTTATTAAATCAGAAAAAAGAAAAAATCAGCCCACAGAGTTCAGTCCCTAATCTATTATCATTGGAACAGTTCCCAAAAGTGTGATCTGATTATCATCATCAATTTATCTCTTGATGACCTGATTTCTAGCTTAGATATTAACCTTATTTATAAACTCAACAGCTCGCAAACTCTTTGTCAGGCGACTGGAAAGCCAGATGGAGGACTCAATCGCACAAGCATGAGCTGAGTCTGTTTTCTAGAAAGACAACAACGCATCACAGCCTTGCAGGGCCGCACCAGAAAGAGAGAGACAGCTTGCCATTTTATGTTGAAGCTAACTTGCTCGCTAACTCTTTTTTCATTATTAACTACTACCCTAGCAAGGTAGAGTACACCCCAGCAAGTTAGAATGCTAGCTCATCAGCTAAAAACAAGTTTAGGACATTTACGTTTAGATGGAGCTCTGAAGTCACACTCGCATCAGCTGATTGGCATCTTCTTTTTGAATATACGTCACTGGTTCGTTCACAAGCTTCGCGGATAGCAACATCCAATCATATTCATGCAGGTATACAGAGCGAACAATATAACAGACACTATCTAATACTATGATGATCATACTCATGCCAACGCCATTAACTGCAGCAGCTCCATTCACCACCCCAAACATTCTCATGTGGTCTGTGCTGTTGATGTAACTAAAATTTATATTCATGGATGTATGTTGACTAAGAAGGATTAGCTCCCTCAAAAAGCATGGCCATTTTCGCCAAATCCAACTGTAAAGCCATTGACAAAAAATTGTCAGGTCCTTGATGCAAGTGTCTGTGACTGAAAAAACACTTTTTGCAATGCAATTAAAATTTTTTCATAGTGAAGTTAACTCTGTTAAGAAGATTTGCTGTTGATTCTCAGTGAAAGTTTTAGTGCCTTCACCAAAGTTGAAATGTTCCATGCGAGAACTGGTCATGGCAATTCCATTTTTTCCAGATTTTCAAATTTAGCTAAATGGTTGCCCACCCAGTTGAATGTAACTCTTTCCCCTTGTGCATACACCACAAAATGCCAGCCTGGTATCACCACATGGTGTACAAGTCAATATCTAAAGTCATTTCCCATTTCATGTTACCTTTTTTGCTTTTCGTGTATCATTTCACGCAATTTCTATTGACCTACATTGTGCAACACGGTGTGTCATTTTATGCACGAATGTCAGGTGACGCAATATAAAGAGTGACAAAGTCTGCATATGGAGGAGGTTAGGGTGGATGGATGGGTCAAACAAATTTTCACCCAGGAGACTTCTGTTCCTATACTTTGTGAAACCAAAAGTCAAAAATGACTTACCGGTATTTGAATTTTTTTTTTTTTTAGCAGATATTTACCACTCAAGACATGGTACTAATATTACAACAATCCAGGTTTCATTTATTGTGTGCTAGTAATAAGCCTTTAATCAGTCCACCAATGAGACGTGTTGTATTAACACACACAAAGGTCAGTCCCTTATGAGCTGGCTTAGCCCAAAAAAACAAATATTGGCAAATCCACATAAAAACATAACATTAGGGGCCAGCTCCACCAACTGAGCCAACCGGGCACCCCAATATGATTTGCATTTAACGATTGCTAAAAATTGACTATCTTGCTGCAAATATGCACCCCCTTCCCATCACTACCACCAACAAAACCCCTAGGTTATTGTCCATTCTGCCTGTGTGAAATCAATACACATACATCCATTTAGACATTGTGCTTGGGTGTATTTTGTTGGAGTAGAAGAAGAAATACTACACCACTAATGAATGTTATTTCTCATTTATCTTCTCCTTTTGTTCTCCATCATTCAAAAATATGAAATAAAAGAAAAGACAATATAGTATCAGTATTCATTCAGCATTTTAATATGTATTATACAATAAGTCTTCATAAAGTTTTGCACTTTTCTGGTCTCTAATAGTTGCCTTTTGTGCCTTTGGGTGGATGAGTATAGGTTGGAATGTATTGGATGCACCGATTTATTAATCCTGCTGTCTCTAAATAAACTAAATCATATCATGTATATACAGTATGAATACATCGTGCAAGTTTCTGGTGAGAGAAGCCTTTATGAAAATAAGCCTTATGCCCTAGGGGCTAATACTGTAGCGAGTAAAACGAGTTCAGTGCTGATGACCATTATTTTTTCATATACATGAGAAAAAATATCTTTCTCTGAAAAAAAAAAGCACAGTCCCAGATATAAACACATACAATATACATGAACCTCAAGTCGATAGCAGTAGTATTTTCTTTGCACAAACCTCTGGTGCTTTCTGTATAAGTAGGCTGCTTAACCAGAGGCCAACAAGCCAATTGCAACCATTATCTGAAATCACTCAATTAAAAAAAAATAACTAGGCTGGGAAGAATTAGTATCCGCAGCTCTCCACTGCTCATCTATAACATAAGGGAATTAACTCTTCATCTGTGTCATAAAAACACACAACGCACAGTGAATATCACTTTCAAATCCCCATTGCCCATAACTCTCATTACCCCTGCTGCTTATTGCAAACACTTTTTGCTCTGCTCTGTGATCACAACCAGATACACCAAGATGAAGACGGCTACAAACATCTACATCTTCAACTTGGCTCTAGCTGACGCCTTGGCTACCAGCACGCTGCCCTTCCAGAGCGCCAAATACCTCATGAACACCTGGCCGTTTGGAGAAGTCCTGTGCAAGCTCATTATTGCCATTGACTACTACAACATGTTCACAAGCATCTTCACCCTTACCATGATGAGCGTGGACCGCTACATCGCCGTGTGCCACCCTGTCAGGGCGCTGGAGTTTAGGACGCCGGTCAAGGCTAAGATGATCAACGTGCTCATCTGGGTTCTGTCCTCAGCGATTGGGGTGCCCATTATGATCATGGCTGTGACCAAAGTGAAGGATAGCGGTGAGATAATGTTTTCTTCCACTGTTTTATCTATTTTCTGTTATTATTAATTCAAGTATTTTTGTCTTCCAGAATAGGGTGAGCTGTACAGAGTTGAATGTGTATGATTTACCCAACTGAATTTTTGCCAAAGTACTGAAGAATAGACAGTAGAAAAAACACGCTTTGATCTGCATAATTTGCATTTATTAGGCCAAGCTTCTGGTCCTTAAGACCTTCATCAGAGCTTACATGGCACACAAAGGAAAAGCAAGAATAATGGTTATTATTATCCACCTTGGATTCTCAGACTTTAAACATTAAACATAAAACCCTCCAGTGAAACTGATAATATTTGATGTTCAGTAGTAGTTTAGGATGGTTTTTCGGGGGACGTGTACTACTTTACTACTTACCCAGAGTCACAAAATCACCCAGATGTTTTTTTTGTGTCTGCGTAAGTTTTAAGGCCTTTTGAATGATTAGCCTTTATATGTGAACAAGACATAAGGGTGAAGAAGTCATAGCGCAATCGGGTTTTGTGTGAAAGACCGGAATTTGTGTCACATCACTGACTTGCAATTAGCATTCACTTTTTTTTCAGCCAGAACCTTGATCATTATCTTAACCAATTGCTTAGTTGCCTAACATTCTCCATCCATACTCCATCTATAGTGCTAGCCAGGTGGTTGAATAGGTCTCACCTTTGAGTGTGGCTGTTTGGAACAGCTACAAACACTTTTGCCTTCCAATGTAAGCAGATAGCATGCTGCATGAATCGAGTTCTTCTCGAGTATAACCCAGCCCTAACCACACCTTAACTGTAGTTTAAATCAGTCTTTCCCTTAATCAAACCATGGATTCACAAATACTGTATACATTTATTTCATAAACGCTAGCACAGAAAGTCATCATCCAATATAAATGTTCTGGCTACAGGTTTGGAAAAACACATCAACATCGACAATTGTCTGTACATGCATAGAATATATTCTTGATAGTCTTTCATTTGCGCAGCAGCAACAGTAGTGGTCTTGAAGTTTGTATTGTGAGTACAGATGAGTGAGTGCAGATGTTTCTCCATAGCTTTGGATTTTTAAATCCACAAACCAATACTACCTGCTCTCTTTCCAGGTAAAACCATGTGCATGCTGAAGTTCCCTGACCCTGACTGGTACTGGGACACAGTGACAAAGATCTGCGTCTTCATCTTTGCTTTTGTGGTTCCTGTGATGGTCATCACCATATGCTACGGCCTGATGATCCTGCGTCTGAGGAGTGTTCGTCTGCTCTCAGGCTCCAAGGAGAAAGACCGCAACATGCGCCGCATCACCCGCATGGTCCTGGTCGTGGTGGCAGCCTTCATCATCTGCTGGACCCCCATTCACATCTTCATCATTGTGAAGACCATGGTGGAGATTGACAACAGGAACCCCTTTGTGATAGCCAGCTGGCACCTGTGCATCGCCTTGGGCTACACCAACAGCAGCCTCAACCCTGTCCTCTACGCATTTTTGGATGAAAATTTCAAGCGATGCTTCAGGGATTTCTGCCTTCCCTGTCGGACCCGTGTGGAGCAGCACAGCCTCAACAGAGGCCGCAACACCACCAGGGAGCCGGTGTCCGTCTGTGCTCCAACAGAAGCGGGGAAGAAGCCGGCATGACTAGGCATGGACTGGGTCCCCCACAGCTCTCGCTCAAGGAGGATCCAGCAAGATTTGCAATCAGAGGTCACCCAGATCTCCACAACAGAGTTTTAAGAGATCTTCCCAAGAAAAAGTTAGTCTCAAAGAAATGACTGATGCTTATTCTCTCCAATTTGGCTGACGTACAGACATTCAAGGGAATAGCTAGAGATAATGGAAAATAGGTTTAACTTTGATCTTACCTTTCTGTTGAAGTTCTCACAACAAAGTGGAATATTTTTCTCACAGGAAATATGACCCCTAACAAAGGCAGTGACAGTAGATGGGGTGATAGCCCAAAGACTTTATTCAAGTGGTAAAGCAAGACTATGAAAGCAGAAAATCCCCATCTCATAATTTGTCTGCCCAAAGGACCAGAGTACAAGAGTACTTTTTGATGATGCAAAAAGGACAAAGAAACACCAACAGGTATAGTTGTCAGGCAACGAATGCATTATTCAGACAGCATCCTTCAGAGTGCATTGCAAGACAATAGACTGACTCTGTCGGGGTGAACACGCAACAAAAAACAGATAGGTGAAAAAACAAACATTTTCATCATTTCTTTTAAGTAACAAATTCGATTTTGGTGATATATGATTTTTTTGAAGAAGAAAACTCATCTGTATTTTTAACATTAACAGAAAACAAATGAGACTTACAGAGCAGAACCACACAAGTGATACCCACAGACAGCTGGATGATGAATTACAGAATAGGCTGTTGCACAACAAGGTCAACCAGAGAGAGAACTCCTCTCTGGTATTCTGTGTGATTCCGCCAACCTCTTTTTTTGTCATTATTTTTTACAGCCAATAAAGACACTTGTTCTTTATTTTTTCCTTTTAAACTCTGCCGCCATCAACTGTGTTAGGAGAAATTTGGGACTCACTGTTCAGTACATTTCAAAATGTGTCATAAAGGACATGAAATCGTAATCAAGCTTTGTTTGTGGGGTTTTGTGCACAGATGGAAAAATCCACATTAGCATCAAACCACTGAAACTTGGATTTCTATGGACCTCTTTTCTGCTCATGTACTTGACTTTCATGGGCGGTGTGAAGCCCACAGAGATCCTCTGAGCAGAATCACTGAATAATGATAAACCTGCCACTGAAGAAGACTCTCGGCAGTCACAACTGTCAGCTTATTGGTTGTTACCCCGAAACTCGGACTGAGAGCAGCTTCATCACAGTGTAGAAAAAAGCTTGTCCTGATGTCAACAAACACACTGCTTCAAGGAGATTATTGATCTGCATTTTAAATCAGCAAAAAGGCGACCATGTGTCACATCGAATATAGTAACACACTGAAGACACAGCTAATGGCATAAACCAGAGTGGTAATTTATTCTAGGTAATTTATTTACTGCAGCAGATCACACCAATCAAATTGGGAGATGTCAATCAATGGATGCTGGGAAGGTTAATGATTGTGAACTTTGCATACTAGATGAGGTATGTAAGAGGTACTAATGCAGAGTTTATGGGAATTTGCTCTCATGTGGAAATATTTTGATGGTTAAACGTGCGTTGACATGAAAACATGTCCAAATATGCCACATGTTTGATTAATGTTGAAATGTTCAGTTGGCATTGTGACAAATGTGGAACAGATTAAACTTCCAAACTGAATAGAAATCGAGAGGGTGTTGTATGTTGTACAGGTTACGAAGCCCCTTGAGGCCAGTTTGTGATATGGGGCTATATGTATATAATTAAGGGGGAAAAAATGAATTTGTAGATAAAACCAAGCTTCTGCATTTTAACAAATTTGGCTTCTGCCACAGTTAAAATGACTTTGAAGTGTATCTGTGATTCTGTACGCTTTCTTTACACTTTTTGGATTGTAATATTTCACCACGATGCTTTTGACTCATGTGGCTTAAATGAAAAAAAACAAAAAAAATAAGAAAACTGAGATGGAAAGACAACCATCCAGTGCTGGGAAATGGATTCTTGCTCTGTTTACAGATTCAGAAATGTGCTTGTGGGTTGACTTGTACTTACCCACAGAGACAGGAAGAGAGACAATAAATATTGGCTATTCTGTGTGCAGTAGGAGTCTAACATTTTTGCAGTGTGATACATTCCTGCATATTTTCCTATAATGACGGTGGTGATTGAAAGGGTACTGTATATACCCGCTTTCTTCTTAGCTTCAACCAAGTGCTGCGTCTGTCGGGTGTGCAGGATATCTCTCAGCCACCATTACTTTTGCAAATTCAAGTTCTAGAAATGCAGAATGTACAGAACTAGTTTTACAAAAAAGAATGACATGGCTGTTCAAGTTTTATTTTTTGACAAATTAACAAAAGCTAATTACTTCTAATGAATTAAGAGATTAAAAAAAACCCTGTAATAAACCATGTGAATTCAGGGTACAATCAAAGTAAAAGTGTGTGGGTGTGTGTGCATGATTTTCAGTTTATTATCTCATGTGAATGGCTAATCAAAAACTGTTTCCTTATGTCATTTCTCATCACAATGTATAAGCAGAATTACTCTCATTGATGATACTTTGTTCAAACTGTTTCAATTGTTGTTATAGAAGCTATAGAAAACATATTGTCATTGTTGTCATTTATCTGCGTGATCGAGTCCAAAAGAAACAATCAGTAATATTTGAATCCCAAAGTGACAATAACAAACCAGCGGAGGCATCCAAGTGTCACTGATCAAAGCTGGTATCCAGTGTTGCCCTAATGCCAACAGAGATTTCAGGCTTCACAAACAGCAGTCTGGCCCACACCCTGGGGTATTTCAATACTAAACTCTGCCCCCCATCATGACCTTCACTATCTTTAAATATAGAAGGACAAACAGTATCCCAACAAGCTGTAATGAAAAAATACGTGTTCTGCCTGGCAGCTCTTCATCACAATATTACACAGTGAAACAAAATGACAAAATTAATTAGATTCATGAGGCAAACATACGGCACTCCATCAAAAATAATTATTCAAAGATCTTCCGTGGAATGAGCTTCAGTCACAGGAACCTTCATCTGAGCTTTTGTTTTTCAGAGCAGGCATTAAACCATTTCACATTAGAAAAACTGAAAGTAGCTGATCAGATAATCTTAATATCTCAAACCACATATAATTTAATGCAGTGCTGTCGTCAAGACCACCTTTGTCGAGTCCAAGACCAGGACCAGTCAAGGCAGAGTCCAAAGAGGTTTGAGTCCAGCAGAGAGACAGAGTTAAGACTGAGACAGAAACAAGAATATGTTTGCCGTTACCAATGAGATGTTTTGGCAGCCAGGCATACAATAAGTGACATTGATTGGCGGCCAATGTTAATGTCTAGATGGATTTTGAATTAAACTAATACCTGTTTTCTGAATAAGCATGCTTCATCAGTAGTATTTTTTATACCACTGGACTCGGTTGAGACCAACTAGAATATTTGGTGAGACCAAAGGCCAATTCTGAGACAATTCCTAGCGCAAATACCAACGAGTCAGAGACAATAGAAAAATCGTCTCCAGCCTGAGACTGGACTTGAGTGCTCAGGCACTGGTACAATAAGACAATGTTTACTCTCCCTCACCCTCCCTCCTCCTCCCTTCTGGGCCTGTGACTCGTTTAGCTGGCAAATATCAGCAGAAAAAAGCCAGGGTCACTCCTTAAACTGAAACACTGGCGAGCTACAGGACTGCAATGCCACAGCTGTGGCAAACTGGTAATTATTAGCGGACCATTCGTGTTTCTCGTCGTGTAAAACAAATACTGAATATGACATGATGATGTGACATCACGTGCAGTTGTGGTGGTGGCTTGTCATCCCGTGCAGTTGGCTTCTCAATAGCGCTACTTCACTACTGCGGTTGTACTGAGGTCAACAGTAAAGCACATTTATATACTACTCATTTGCATTTATTTGATGCTGTCCCAATCCATTTGTTACTACCATAATTAGGAAAAGTATACAATGAACCTGTTTGGCAAACCACAAAAAGTTCAAAAATTCAAAGGTGCAAACTCTGTAACTGCAAATGGTTACACTGACCTGAAAGGATTCGTAAATTCCAGCTCTAAAAGCCCTCTATAAAACCAGTACCACATATGAATAAGCTAGGGACTCTTAAGAAGACTACAGTATGTTTTTGACTATGTTAAGCCCTAAAGAAGCCACCCATCTTATATTTCTTCTTAACACAGCTTTGTGTTTGGTACTACATTAACACCTAGCTAACCCAAATCTTTGACCTTCAACAGTAATCAATCAATATATCCCATTTCTGCCACTAGATCCTCCTAAAAGTTACACACTGGACCTTTAAGACCTGGTCACGCATTTAAATAGCAAAATAATGTAGCAATCCAGTTCCTTCCACGATTTACTCACAGTCAAACTAAATATGCACATTTTTGCCCAATTTTTTATTTTAAAGCGCTTTGAGTGGTCAGAAGACTAGAAAGGAGCTATACAAGTACAGGCCTATTCACCATTTGAGGGTCAAAGAGTCTTATCCAAAATGGAGGAAGCTATTGTAGTTTAGTAACTGTTCTGCACCACTCACTTTTATTTAACCTTATCTGCCAGAGTCAAAACTGTCCCACAAAAGGATAAGTTTGGTGACAATTATGAGACAGGAATTGACAGTACAAATAATTTTTTTTAGACTCATTGTCCTGTTAGTGACTGAGCTAAGCTAATAAGCGAATGAGCCTGCTAACTGACTTTTAGTAAGCTTGGAAGAACGTTATCCTCCCATTTTACAATTTTTTTATTGAACCACATGGTGTACAATGCAGGGGCGGATCTAGAGAAATATTCATGGGGTGGCCACAGGGTGGCACAGAGACTCTAAAGGGAGGCAGAAATATATGCTGGTTTAATCACATCACATATATCAATATTTTCTTGGAAAAGCCCTCATATGACAATATTTGAACATTATTGTGGCACATTAGAAAAGCATTGAAAAATCTAAAGGTGGTATTAGAAATCAAAAATAATTTTATTTCCAAATCTTCAGACATTTTTCCAAACATGTCTTTATTCATTGTCAAGTCCATTACTTAGTCTAAAATTTGTCCATAACAGATAATTAAATTAATTAAATTGTGTTAATTTCCATGTTTTAATATGTTTTTTATTCATTTATCATAATTAAGTGTTAAATTGGAATTTTTTGGCACCAAACTGGGGTGGCCAGGGATTTCTTAGCACCTAGATCCACCTTCGGTACAATGTCAAACAAAGTGGCCAGGAGTGGAAAACAGAACAACAGAGAGAAAATAAAGGAAAACTCTGCGAGCTATTGTGACTGACTGTGCTTGAATGAACAGCCCTGTTAGTCACTGAGTCATCAAGACTGTACAACCAAATATTCCACAAAGACACGCAGGTTAACCAAAATGTGTCTTGTAAATAAACAACATACACTAGACTAGATTTTATTTACATGACCCAAGCTGGGTTTCAAGATGTAGGCTAAAGGTTGAAAAGACTTAGTTTTGCAATGATTTAGTTTTTAATGAGAAGTACATTTTGTTATTAGTATTTTCTGACATCAACCATTCTGACAGTAGCAAACTGCAGTATTTTATTGTATAGCAGTAATTAATTCAGTCCTGGTTTGTTGTGTTGTGTAGCTATTTGGTTCAATTACAATGTGTGAAACAATGTATAAGGTGTCTGGGATATAAGGAGATGACGGAACGGTGGGAGAGCCTTTAAGTAGGTGAGCCAGCAGAGCTCAGGCAGTTGCTCAGACGAGGAGCCACATATGCTGAACAAAGTTCCTATTGATTGTCAATCGATGTTACTGAAGAGTTCATGTTACTGATTGCTCCTTAAATCCTCTTCCCTTGCTCTGCTCTCATTTGCTTTTTGTTGTACCTTTGTAATTTACCTTACATTGTTGTTGTTAGCTTTTTTGTCATTATTCTATTTGATATAACACTGCTTAACACTGTAAACGGAATACTGAAAAGCCTGTGTGAATATAACTAACTGTACATTTGTGTAAGATGCCAATTTGATGTATAACCCATGACTGTAGTGTGTAAGGCAAATGTGCTGATCATACTTACTACATACTACACTATAAGCTAGTTATTTTGCAGTGTTAACATGCTACTTTTTAGCTTCTTCTGGTGCATCTGTTGTATGCAGCAGCGGTGTTTCAAGCCTTATTCTGAAATAAAGAAAATAAAATGAAGCTGAGAGAAAATTGCATGTTTTGGTTTCCTGGAAACAAGGGGAAATGGGATACCATAATATTTTCTTGAAAATGATTGGCCTCATAATGGAATAATCCATCTTCCATAACCATGATTCAATTAGAAAAGTGGAGTGCTTCAGAATAGTCTGCCATGACATTGAACCACAAAGTGCATTTCCACTGGTGCTCAGATAAACACACAAGAGATGGCCCAAGGCTGCTCTAAGTCCCAAAGTGTGCTGTAGACTGCTATCAGAAAATTAAACACCCAACTCTACATCTCCTCTGCAAATCCAGACCAGCAACTTACAGTCGCCATGGAGACCGGCAGCACCACATCCACAGTGGAAGAGGTGACCAGTTACAATTTAATTATGGAGGTTTCCTTTACAAGCAGCCACTTATCAATTATCCTGATTGCACTATCCACAACAACAGAGAAGCCTCCCTGCAGATTAACCGAGGGCTGGCCACTGTAACAACCGAAGGGAGGGCTCATATCCCTGATGTGATATTCACAGTAGTATAATATATATTCTAATACGCAGGATGCTGCTGCTGCTGCCATAATAACTCCCTAGATCTTGATGAACAACCGTGTCTCCTAGAAATTACATATGCTTCTAATTTGCAACACTGACTACATTTACATGCACACTAATCCTCCACTAGTATTTCGAATGTAAGAATATTCTGCATTTTTTAAGGGTCATGTAAACAGTATGTTCCTTTTGGATATTCCTAATTAAGACATGTGGCATATGCTGATATTATTTGGAGCATTCTTTGGACAGTGCATTCAGTTTTTACCACAGTCCGCCATACAGGGCTGCTTGCCAGTTTACAGTCAGCTCTATGCATTGTAAACAAACCAACTAGCCAACAGTTTGCAAGGCTGGCGTAGAGATAGGAGCGAGTAGATTAGCAGTGTCTTCCATTAACCCTTTATCGGGCGAGGATACATATATGGTCACTTCTTTATGACGGTTTTAATTACACTTCTATGGCATATATATATATATATATATATATATATTATGGGGCCAGATGCATAAACTGCAACAAGTGTGATTACGCCACTTTCCACGCACGTATCCAAATGTATAAAAGTCACAGGCGGTGAGAATGTGCGTACTGGTACACATACTGGTACAACACCAAGCGTAGTCCTTTGAGTCTTACAATGTGATGTTGTGAGTTGACAAAAAAGAGAAAAATAAAATTGTGAATTTTTTGTGACCGTGTGTGTTTCAAGCCATTTATAGTAAATTGTGGGAATGGTCAGAAGGTTCATGCAGGTGCACACAATTTCAGGATGATTGAGATGTATGAAGGAAAAACACACAGGAACAGACATACATGAGCTTTTACATAACTGATAAAAAGACTGCATATGCATGTTTCTTGTTTTATGTGTATACAGATTTCTACACCTAAATATTCACACTTTTATGCATCTGGCCCCTGCTGTTTATTTTACAGACACGGACCGGGTGAAGCAACCGTGAACAGAAGCATGGCTTGTGTGGAAAAGAGTTAAATTACAAAGTAGTTAGAGGGTTAAGTAGTGAAATAAGTAATATATAAGTAATAATAATAAATAAGTACGTCTTTCAAGGTAAGTCAAGGTAAAGATTGCAGTCTGGTGCAAAGCATTGAGCTACAATGCTAAAAAAAAAAAAAGCTAAGTAGAGGGTTAGGGTTGGAATAATATACAATATTGTGAATTAAAGAGGATGACTCTGAATATTTTCACACGGCTTGAGTTGTCTAGCTTTAGTCCTATATTGATTTACTGATTTATTTTGAACAAGGGGACTGGGGGGAGCCTGCATCTAAGGATTAGCCTTGCAAGGTTCAGGTGGATTTAAGACAGTATTAGCCATTTTCCACCAACGAAATGCACTTTCATACATTGTCAATATTGACACCAGCATTGGTACAGTCACATCATTTAGTTTACAGCTCAAAAAACACAGTGTATGGCAGAGTACCTCTTTAAACATGTAAATGTGTACTATCTCTATTTTCGTTTGCTTTCTGTCACTCTCAGGTTAATTGTGCTGCTCTCCAGGTACACTCCACTAAAGAACCAAACACATAAAGTTTTCTATTCAATTGTTGAATCTGTTCAATTGAATTTTGAATTGGGCATTGAGTGCTTTTTTTCTCTCGCAAAGTAGCTTGAGGTGACCCGAATAACAGGCAGCACATACATAGACAGGCCATGTAGACCAAAAATGTGTAGAGAACAGACTAATGGAAATGGATGAAGAGAGGGTCCTTGAGTCTAAATCCCTTTCAGAGACAAGATACACTTGGAATCTAAGTGAAAATATTTTAGATCAGAACTGGTAAAGAAGCGATTGATTATATGCAGTATGGATGACATTCTGCTCTTCTCGCTGTGTAGAGATCATAAAGAATGGTAAGTTGTGTATTAGCAAAAAAATTATAGTGTTAGCAAATTATAGTGGGGCAAAAGGTAATGAATAATGTATCTCCAATGCATGTGGGGAGAATAAGAATACAGTCAGACATACACAAAAGGATTCAGGCAGCATATGGGCAGTCTTCTTTAATCTCAGCTACTTCCCCATATTACAGCCACATATACAGTCTTCCACATACACACAGTGTAAAGAAGGCTAGCAAACACAACACAAGGGCAGTAAATAACAAGGACATCAGGGAAATCAGCGTAGAGCTAAAAAGTTGGTGGAGTTGGTTATCTTCCTCCTCCTTATCATCATCATATTGTTTACCTCAAACATTGGGACGGCCCATTAATCTCAGCTTAACTCCCAAGGTTGCTGGCCAGCTCACTCATTTTCATTATACCTCCTCCTGCATCTGAACTAGCTATCACGCTGATGGATGTGTACAGTCTGGGGGTTTGGTCTCACTCTTCGTAATGCTTACCAATACTTCAGACTTTTATTCCAGTACTAAGCCAGTAAGAGTTGTTTGAACACTTTGTACAGGGTGTACAGATGCTCTGGAGCCATGTCAGCCATCACACCAATCACCTGTCAACACAATGTAATTGCAAAAAAAAAAAAGTCAATACTTATTAAATTTGGAACATTTGTTGTGTTACGAGTGCAGTTTTGGTCTAAATGTTAACTGTACTGTCAGGCCAAATGTCTCAGTTCACTATGGTGAGCTTCCACTTCTGCCAAAGGAGAGTAAGAAGACGTAAACCACAGAATGACTGTGCTCCACTGTACTGATTACTAATACATTTCAGTAATAATATTTAATTTCCCCCCCTCCAAAAAAAACCTAGTTACAACATTACTTTTGTTGGCAACCCTTATCAATTTGAAATCCAACAATCCAAAAGAGAAAAGGGACACAATTACCAATTGTGTGGGGGTAGCAGAAAAGTAATATAACTAGTTATAATAACTATTTATGATATTATTAACTATTTAAAAAATAAGCCCCCCTTTTTTTTTTTTTTTCCTTTTTGTGTTCAAAACGAAAAACAGATTATACTTTAGTACCGTGGCCCACATGCAAAGATTTTTCTGTCTTCTCAGCCATCATCAACCAAAAAATACAAATGTGACTCATTTGTGTGCGTATTGCTTTCTAAGGGCACTGGAAACGTAATTTAAGAAGTCCAAATCTGTTTTGCTGTGGCAAAAAAAACCAAAACAATACACTTCTATTTGAGTTGGACACATTTGGATTATGCAAAGATATCCCAAATATGTATGTACATCTATACTGAATTGATATGCTACGTAGGTCCAAGTGCTTCAAGAAAATGCTGTCAAGGGCTAAACTTTAAAACATAATTATCTATGATTCAGCCTTGCCATGGACTCAACTGAAGTTGTCATGACTACAGAAAGTCCAGCCAATCCACAACCAAATTGGGCTCTGCCAGCAGGACATGACTGCTGGACTGAAGATTGCTTTAGTCCACGGAGCTGAGCCTCTGTGAGGGATTGAAATCAAAAGCAGATAGGCGTCATCGTTTACAGTAGACTGCATATGGCCATAATGACGGGGCTTACCCCTGCAGCTTACATTTAGCTGGCCCTTATCAGGCTCATACAGGGTTTCACTCTGGCCTGTGTGTGGCTGTCAGTGCTGATAGAGGCGGCTCTCAAAGACCGCATGAGTGACCCTATGGGCGCTTAGACAAAAGAGAAGCTCACCAGTGGCCTCCCTGCCAGTCGGCCAACCATAGCCTGTCCACCTTTCCATTGTAAGAGGCTAAACGTCAACGCTCTGTTTGCAGCAATGTGACTTGTCTTCTCTCCACACCTGAGGTGCCCTAATTATGTGGTCAACTGGTGAGAGTCACTGGCATGAGGAATACAGGCAATATTCATTCAAATTATTAAATTATATTTTTATTATATGTTTATTATTTCCTCGCCATTTTTTTTAGCAAAATAAGAAAGAAAAAAAACAAAATGGCAAAATAGTTATTTTTCTCTTGTGGCAACAGTGTGTATTTTGCACATAAACACAAAGACAGATGGTCTGTGATTATAATCCATTATAAGAACAACCACATCCACACATTAAAACACTACTGAATTTAGTGTGATGTGTGGTGTTTCGGTATTAGTTTATATTCTCTTGTTTCTTTGACTAAAATAATAATGCAATGGTTGCATTACATTGTAATTACTTTCTTTTCAACAATGCAACAAAGCCTTAGTGCTTACAGTAAACAAGAAAAGGCCAGCTTTTCATGAAATCAGAAACCCACTGTACCACATTAATATAATAGTCATTTTAACTTCAAAAAATTGATTGAAACCGAAACTTTTAGGTCGCACTAACTCAATTTTGTAAGAAACATTCTTGAATAACAAGGTTTTACTAGAAATGTTAAGTGACAGTAACTTAGTTTTGTAATTTATAGAAACATTCATTCATTCCAAGCACATTTTACATTTATTTTGTTTTCACAGCACAAATAAAGATTATAAGATTAAGTCAGTGTCACTTAAAATCAGTAGTAAAAGCTGATTAATCAATAA